ATCCTTCATTTTTGATGTAGAATCACATGTACACTACACCATTTGTTTAGTGGACTCTTATACTGCAAAACTTTCTCACTATTAGCAACCTTCTATGCAACTCCACTTGTTTGTCCTAGCGCTTTTCTCCTCTAATCAACTGCTGCCTCTTTTTCGTCTAGGTCATCCGTGAAAACCAGGTGGTGGTGGTGGTTGGAGAAACTGGTTCTGGAAAGACAACACAACTGACCCAGGTTTGTTCAAACTGATATCACTCACCATTATTACCTTACATTTGCTAGACTTCTGCTTGTGATTGGAGTGTTATTTATCTAAACTTTTTGTTCATTGTCTGCAGTATCTGCATGAAGATGGATATACAATAAATGGAATTGTTGGCTGCACCCAGCCCAGACGTGTAGCGGCTATGAGCGTGGCAAAACGAGTCAGTGAGGAGATGGAAACTGAGCTTGGTGATAGAGTTGGATATGCAATTCGTTTCGAAGATGTAACTGGGCCAAACACTGTTATTAAGGTAATTTTGTTATCAATTTGGGCATTTCTTAGCCCAAATGTATAGTGTTATTGCTCTTTGATTGCTTGTTAGGATACTTGTAATAGTATGATGTAAAACAACAGAAATTTATGAACTTAATCTCCAAGTGGGAAGTAGTTGGGGAATTGTGCATTTTGTTCTTTTCCAGTTTGTCATTTTTGCTTTTTGGACCGGTGCATTGGCAAAGCTGCTATGCTATTTGCTTTTGGATATATAGCTGTGTAGTTTAGGTTTTTTTTTTTTTTGTGTGGGTATGTTTAGCCTTTTAAATATCTATTTGCCAAATTATGAGGTCTAATTTTGTATATGATGCAGTACATGACTGATGGTGTGCTTCTCCGGGAGACACTGAAGGATTCTGACCTCGACAAATACCGGTATGGTTAATGCGTAGATGGTGATACTTAAGATTTCTATAGTTCTTCAACTATGCATGTGCCACCAGTTTTGGTGAGCAGAATGGTATCATTTACTTGCTTCATTCTTGATTTTACAGTGTTGTTGTAATGGATGAAGCACATGAGCGATCACTAAGTACTGACGTACTTTTTGGGATCCTTAAGAAAGTTGTTGCAAGACGTCGTGATTTTAAGCTTATTGTGACATCAGCCACTCTTAATGCTCAAAAGTTCTCAAATTTCTTCGGGAGGTAATTTTAATTTGTACCAACTAGGTTCTAATCATTTTCATTTTTGCTACTCTCTCTCTCTCTCTCTAACATGATCATTCTTTTTGTGTTGTCGCAGTGTTCCAATATTCTACATTCCTGGAAGGACATTTCCTGTCCAAACATTGTACAGTAAATCTCCGTGTGAAGATTATGTTGAGGCTGCAGTTAAGCAGGCTATGACCATCCACATTACAAGTGCACCTGGTGACATACTGATCTTTATGACTGGTCAAGATGAGATTGAGGCGACCTGTTATGCCCTTTCAGAACGTATGGAACAGCTCGTCTCTTCAACGAAGCAAGTCCCCAAGCTCTTAATTCTTCCTATATACTCACAGCTGCCAGCTGACTTGCAAGCAAAAATCTTTGATAAAGCTGAAGATGGAGCACGAAAATGTATTGTTGCCACGAATATTGCAGAGACCTCTCTGACAGTGGATGGAATTTTTTATGTCATAGACACGGGCTATGGTAAAATGAAGGTATACAACCCTCGGATGGGTATGGATGCTCTCCAAGTCTTCCCTGTTAGCCGTGCTGCTGCTGATCAGCGTGCTGGACGTGCTGGTAGAACTGGGCCTGGCACTTGTTATCGACTGTATACAGAGAGTTCATACCAAAACGAGATGTTGCCAAGTCCTGTGCCAGAAATTCAGAGGACCAATCTAGGCAACGTGGTGTTGTTGCTCAAGTCTCTCAAAATCGAGAACTTGTTGGATTTTGATTTTATGGACCCTCCTCCCCAAGACAATATTCTTAACTCCATGTACCAATTATGGGTTTTAGGTGCACTTGATAATGTGGGGAACCTTACTGACCTTGGATGGAAGATGGTGGAGTTCCCACTAGACCCTCCCCTCGCAAAAATGTTGCTTATTGGTGAACAACTTGAATGTATAAATGAGGTTCTGACAATTGTCTCAATGCTTTCTGTGCCATCTGTCTTCTTTAGGCCCAAGGACAGGGCAGAGGAGAGTGATGCTGCCAGGGAGAAGTTCTTTGTGCCGGAATCAGACCACCTTACTCTTCTTAATGTTTACCAGCAGTGGAAAGCAAATCAATATCGAGGTGATTGGTGCAATGATCACTTTTTGCATGTCAAGGGGTTACGCAAAGCTAGAGAGGTGAGGTCCCAGTTGCTGGACATTCTCAAGACACTGAAAATTCCTCTCACTTCTTGTGGTCCTGATTGGGACATTGTCCGAAAGGCCATTTGTTCTGCGTATTTCCATAATGCCGCCAGGCTAAAGGGAGTTGGGGAGTATGTCAATTGTAGGAATGGAATGCCATGCCACCTGCATCCAAGTAGTGCCCTATATGGTTTGGGTTACACTCCTGATCATGTGGTTTATCATGAGTTAATTTTGACCACAAAGGAGTACATGCAATGTGTGACAGCAGTGGAGCCTCAGTGGTTGGCTGAGTTGGGACCTATGTTTTTCTCCGTCAAGGATTCTGATACATCACTTTTGGAACATAAAAAAAGACAGAAGGAAGAGAAAACTGTCATGGAGGAAGAGATGGAGAAGTTACGTCGGGTCCAAGCGGAGTTGGAAAGAGAGAACAAGGAGAAAGAGAGGAAAAAGAGGGCTAAGGAACAGCAGCAAGTTTCAATGCCAGGACTGAAACAAGGTTCTTCTACTTATCTCAGGCCTAAGAGGCTTGGTTTGTAAATGTAACTTGTAAATGTGCTTGATATATAGTTGTTTGACGTGGTTTCATTGATTTTAAAGAAACTTCGTCTATTTCTGCCTCTGTAGTACTCAGCTGCAGGATGAATTACTCTCTGGTGGCTGTAATGTCTAGGCATCTACAACTAGTTGCTTGATGCCATGTTTTTTTTTCCCCCTGTTTGCCACCAAATTATCATTTTGCTGATTTTTTCCAACTATTTAAATATTTGAGGGATTAGCCATTATTGGTTCCATTTAAAGGGTTAATTTTTAGTGGATTAGTGGAAAAAGCTCTGGCTATATTTTCTGGAAGTCCCTGTATTAGGTCTCAATTTCTCCTCTACTCTAGTTCCCCGCTGGCTGCTGCTCATACGTAGAGTTTGCGTTATCGTGTTCCATTTGTTCAAGAAATTCTTCTCCAATTACTTTGTATTCTGGGAAGAAAATGATGCTCCTTCATTGTTTCAGAACAATGATTTAGAGTTGTAGGCTAACTGGTTTAGCAAAACTCGCTTGAACTTTTTCCATTCTTTCACCAATATTGACGAACATCTAGATCTCTCAATAATTCCAACATGATTGCTACCAAAAAAAAAAAAAAAATGTCATGAAGATGTTTTGCTGACCGAACCTTTGCATGCTATTTGGAGCGGAAGTTTTGTATTTTTGTTGTTAAATACAGAAACCTTAACCTCATTGCAATAATAGGAAACTTCCATACCATTTATCTAGTAAAGAAATCAGTACAAGTTAAACAGAATTTTCAAAATTTGCAATAAGTGGTCCATGCGAACTTAATTTTAGTGTATCAATGAGCAATATCAAGTAGTAAAAGGAACAAGAGTTAGTTTTTTGGAAAAATGAGTTGGATTTGAAAAATGTGTAAACGCAAGAGGGATAATAAATATTGAGATAGTACGTCATGCATGCTAATCGGGTGTCTATTAGGTGGCAGTGAAAAAATCATTTTTCATCTTAAACATATGATTCTCTACCTTGTTTTCTGATTTGTATTAGTTTAAATTATAGTTACATCTCCAGCTATTGGACATGTTACATGGAGTAGTTTGCTATAAAATCAAGAACTAAACTGTGTATTGAATGAGTTAAATCCTTTGTTACACTCTTAGTGTTATGCTCTGTTACACCATGTATCAACATTATGCGTGTTCTCAATTATCTATCAAACCATTAATAGATATTAGTGCGTGGAAACATATCACCTTTGTATATAGTGTAATAGGAATATAACTCCAAATATATGTTGAAGGAAGAAGTTGATTTGCTTAGCTATTTATCTTGGCCCTAGAGGTTGAGAATGTGTACGAAGAAATAGGGATGGCAATGGATATGATAAATTCGATACCTGTGAGTAGTCGGCCTCATAGTTAATCAAATAAGATGGCTGATGGATATACCGTTAGGGTTTGGTATTGATGAGAGGTAATTGACAGATAATCTAATAAAGTTTAGTAAGAGAACTCTAAAAACTCGAAACCTGACGTTCATAGATACACACAAACATATAATATTCTTAATAAAATGTTGAATTTCTCTCATATAGGTTGTATGACTCTACCAAAGTTTAAAATTGAACATGTTTGTGTTGATTTAACATTATGCATGTATTAATTTTAGTTTGATAATAGTCAATTACTTTTTTTCTGAATTGTTCAAATTAGTGGGTAGAAGTTATCCAATGAATAATCCGAACTCGGAAGCGAGAGGGTTTGATAATGAAACTTAAAATCCACAGAGTTACCCGAAAAAATTTGGTAAAAAACTTAGATATACGAGTAGGGTTTTGACAAGAAGGATTTTTTATGGTACTTGACCCGCTACCATCCTACCAGGGGAGAAATACTCCAATGCTATTGGTACTATCACATTATTAACTCACTAACGCCTCCCTCACCCAATAGTCTGTTTCCAAGATTGAGAGGGCGATTGAGGTTACGGCTGCCGACATGCTAATAATGTGACAACCTTGGTGGAATCTGTTCCCGGAGACAGATCTTTAACCAAATTTTTGTTAAAAAAAAAAAAAAGAAAATTTCCCATCTGGTAAGATTCGGATTTCCAGTTCCAGACTGGAATGTTTAACTTCTTCAATGATCAAGCATTTATAGAAATGGAAATAATTTCAAGAATCTAATTCTACATATTAGTTTGCAGAAATAAATGCCACATACATCAGTCTAGCAAAACTATATCAAGACCAACAACATTCTCGCTCTACAATTTGGCTTTCTCTGTTAGCACTTAGCTCTAGCAAATCATTGTCACAGAAATTTTCTCCAGATTTACCAATCAAACGCTTTTCCACCCATTTAAAACATCAAAAGGTGTGATATTAACAGCTTTCAGGAAACATATTGAATTCAATTGGGAACAGCAGCAACTAAATTTTGGATTTATCAGAAGACGTTGGTGCCTTTTCACCTACTGTAGAACTTTCAGCAACTTTAGAACTTGCTGATTCTTCAGCTTCAACGAGTTTGCGGAGTCTCTCTTGCAGAACTCGAACTCTGTCCTCAGTTCTTCTGAGCTTTCTCCATCTGTAGGCAAACCAGAGTCCAAATCCACCATACACAACAATATAAGAACCCCATACATAAGGGTAGGTTTCTGCATTTTCTTTGATTCTGCGATATTGTTGCTGAATCGCTCCCATCCAGCCAACATCAGCTTGGTTTGTTGCTGCTTGTTGGTTATCTCCTGAATGTTGATGCTCTTCCTCCTTTCCCTGTGTAGCCATTATCTACAGAGTGGCCAGCTGGCGATGAATAAAATTACCAATATATCACAATGTGCCAGACCTCCTTGCAGCTGCAATAAAAGGGAAGCCACTAGTTAAATCAATTACTGTATCATAAATTTTTATAGACAGTGCTGCGCAAATTGAAAGCAAAATTAGCTGACTTTGCATATGCAATAACGCTTGAACAATTTCCAACAAACCAATTCAGTTAAAATACTTGGCCAACTTCAAGCATCATACAAATAGGCACCAAGAATAATTACCAAGGAAATACTATTTTAAATTCCAAGAGTGCAAGCTAAATTTGAAAGAAGTTAATTAGTTGCTATCTTCAACTTTATCTCAGAAAGATAGAAGGGAAAAGTAAAAGAAGACAGGAGCAGATTCACAATATGCATAAAAAGATGAAAATTAGAGAAGATGGACGAAGAAGAGGGACTGGAGGACAAGCAGCCAAAGAGAGCATCTTCAGTAGTTTTTGATTCAAGACAGGAGTTTGAACATTTCTCCATTTCCGCTTAAGTCAAGATGATGCAGTTCAATTATTCAAAATAGCTCTTCTTTTTTTTTTTTGGGTGCTGCAGTGGAGGACTATAGGTCCACTGCATGATGTGGGTATGCCACCCAAATTACATCAGCTAACAGGATTTGCTTAAGATGAGTAGAAGGTTCTGGACATACTTGTAGACCTAGCTGACTATTAAGACTTTGCTTAGCTAACCAATCAGCAGCCATGTTCGTTTCTCTCCTGCAATGCTCCATCTTACACTCCCACACTCGGTTCATCCAGCGTCTGATTGATTCACCTACCAATTGTATCCCAACTTGTGAGTCCAACACCAGAGTAATCTTTTTGTATCCCATATTCCATGCCATGGAGTGTCCGTAGTTCATCCCCCAAAGTTCTGCCACCGAATTGCTTTTTTATCCAGATTAACCATAAAGCCTGATAAATAACAGTCTTATTCATCCCTAATCACTCCACCCGTTCCGGCATTTCCTGTGAAGAGGTCCCATCAACATCTCTTCACCTATCCAATTTGAGGTTTTCTCCATCCCACAAGACAAGTTTGTTAGGGTAGCTTCCCCGCTGATTTCACCAAGGCACAGTAGCGCTTTATACGGTTGCCAATCAATGCATAGAACTAGTATAAATAGCTAGCTACATCAAAGGCTCAACAAAAATAACTAAATGAATTAACAGCAGCATTTTTGAAAACACAAAACTTCAAAATACTTCCAGGCATGCTCCAAAAAAAGAAAAAAACTACCGGGCATTTAAGAGGAACAGAAGCTGATCTATACTGCACAGATTTTGCGCAACACACAAAATGCTATACTAAACCATTTTTTACTACTGGTGTCCAAGACATCAAATTTTACTGTTACAACTATAAGATCAGTACCTATTGAACAAAAAGCTGGAAAAAAAAAAAAGCAAAGGCACTGCTCCTATCATCCTACAGTGACCAATCACAAAGTTTGTAAACTACAGTGACAAAAGTTAGCCACTTATGACTCCCAAATGGGACTTCCACAAAAGTCCGAGCAAATTCATCCAGTATCACAAAAACCTTCTCCACCTACAGATCTCTAGCTTCCAACGGTACCTTTTGATCAAAAACTGCAACAAAATTTACACCATGAGTATTACTGGTACCATCCTACCACAAAAAATGATAAAGGTTGTAAACTACTACTACAAAAATAGCCACTTACGACCCTGCAATACACTTCTGCAGAAATACAAGCAAATTCCTCCGGTAAGCTTTTCTCCACTAGAGCTCTCTGGCCTTAACTTACCATCAAGCATTCAACTTCCAAATTAACTTTTAACCTTCTCTACTTAATGTAGCAAAATACTGGTCACAGATGGCCTCCCTTCTCGCACCACAAACACCTTGATCCGATTTTCCTCCTAGTCCTCGTCATTCAAGAAGGGAGCAGTTCCACTGCTCTCTCACATTAGATACAACCACCTTGATCATGCTTAGTAATTCTAAAAGAAAATGATACAGCTCCAAGCTCATCAATCTATTAATTCATATATTTACCTCCCAACGCAATCTTATGCTCTTAATTTGTTTGATAAATGGCGAAAATATTAATCATTTTACTTCCATATCACAACGCAATATTTTTATGTCATGTAAGAATATCACATCACAATCGAAATTATCAAAATATCCAAAATCAAGATATTCATAAAAAATACATTAATGAACCCCAAAAAAAAAAGCCAAGCAACTAAAAAAACTATACAAAATAGTTCATAATCAAGGGAAATGAAATTCAGCTTTCAGGGCCCAAATCAATTACATTCAGAATTCCGAGGAAAAAGAAAAGCCCGAAAGGCTATGAAACAAGAACAAGGGTTGAGAATGAAATTTACCGGAAGGAAGATCCCCAAATTGGCCTGGCCGTTCTGCTCTTCTTGCTGGTGTATAAGAAAGAATAGAGGGTTCTGCGAAGGGTTTTACGATTTTAACTATGGCGTTAGGATTTAAGGTTGTCGTCGAAGTCCTTGAAGGTTTACCTTAATTCGTTTTCTACCCCCAATTTTAAATTTTCTTATCAAGTTACCTCTTTCAATTAATCTCTGGATTAATATTGACAAAAAAATTATTTTTTATCTTTTAGTATTTTCTATTTTATTGTGTACAGAAGAATGGGAGGCAGATGGGCGTGTCCCTGAGAATGCAAAAAACTCAATTGCCATCTCGAAAAAAATTTTAAGATTATTACTTGTATTATGAAGTTAAGAATTTTTTACCAAAGAAAAAAACTTCGATATTAAATTAGTGTCATCGCACGTTCTACTTTTGTTGCCCAAAAATTTCAAAAAAATTATTTACAATCATAAGTTTTTGCGTTGAAAAAAATTAATTTGATATAATGTTCTTATTTCTCAAATCTGGGACAACGGTTCTCAAGACCCAACTTAATTGATAAGAATAAATGGTTAAATGACCGTAAAATCTCTAGTTAGCCTAGATAATTAAGGACCTTTTTTGAGGTAAATGTAAGCTAATTATAGATATATAAAATAATTTGAATTGTCAAAAAAAAAGGGTTAAGTCGCAAGAAAATATGGATGCTATGAAAATATAACCATTTTCCATGATTGGAATAGTATATCATGAGACGTAAGTTTGTACTACATCCAAAAGAATGAAAAATGACTAAACGCACTTGGGTCAAAAAATCTGCTTGCTTGACTAGAAGGGTTCTTGCTAAAATGAATAATTTGAAGCCAATTAAAACTTATTTATTCATAAAATTTATTAACTGTCTAATTAGTATCTTGTAATTGTTCGGTCTCATATTCTCTTTTTTGGTACTGGATAAAATTTGTGTTTTTGTCATTTCAGGAATTTTCAGGGATGTTCTTATAATTTATTTCTATTTTTTACATTCATACACGAGATTATAATTTTCAGGGATGGCCTTTAGTAAGTATTCTCAGTAGGCCATCAACAGTTAGCAAGAGCTAATTAGCCTCGACGAAAGGATTCCTCTAGCTGTTAGAAATACGGTCGATGGAGATGAGGCTTTCAGTTTGACAAAAGCATCATGAAGTTCATATTATACACATTAGCTAGGCAAAACCGCAAAAGTTGATACGTACAATGTGATCGTGATGGTTGTGAAGAGTCGACTTCCGGATGATTGAACCGAAGCGAAGCGAAGGGATTCACCTATCAAATCTGCACAAAGAGCGCGGGGCTTTGTCCCTCGGTCCCACTCCAACGATCAGGTCAGTTCGAGTATCCAATTGCAAAATAAAAGCAAGGGTCTTAGTCTTTCTAGTATGTGTGTGAGTGAGAGTTTATATGTGTGTGTGGAAGGGTAATTATAGTAGACAATATGGTGAGAAGAATGATAAAGCTCGAGTTCTCATGGGCTTTAGATTTACAGTGTCAGATTTAGACCTAATGGAAGGGACATAACAATGGTCATGTCACTGTCATATCATTCTGTCATGTACAAGTCAGCCTTTTCAGTGGTACGTCAGATGTCAGATAGGAGGCCGAACGAGGTGAAGCCACGTCGGAGAGATTGAGGCCGGCCCAGGGGGCGAGGCAACGAGCCGAGGTGGCACGGGACTCGCAGAGGTCACCTCGCTCTGTCGCGAAACCGAGGAGGGACGAGGTGAACGCCCTCGGGTTCCAAGTTGATTTAGTTTGCCTTTGGTCACTTGGCTGGGGTGTTGTTGCATGCAGGTGGGTTCTTGTTGATGTTGCTGGCTGGTGATTCAGTTGTTTCTGTTGCTGTGCCAGGAGTGGCTTCAGGCGTAGAGGATGTAGAAGGGCTCAAAGAGATGGTGGTGTCAACCTGAGTCTGTGTTGGTACGTAAAGATCTATATGAATGTTCTTGATAGTCTAATGAAAAGATGAAAAAGTGCAGGAAGCCACTGCATAGGAAAAAGTGCAGCGCACCATTTGATCTGTGGCAACCTTTGGCTTTGATAACCAAGTAGTCACTCAGGGGTAAAATTGGTACTTAAGGATGTATTATTGGTCAGTATGCAATCCACAAACAAATTCTAGCCACAAATGTCTCCAACGGGCACCGCTTCACTCTTTGCAGAGGCAGGCGAAATTACAGTAGTATTACCCACCTATTAAAGGTGTTGATAGGGGACGAAATCAACTGTTCCTAACTTCATTCCTGCCTTTATATTTCTCAGGGATGTAACCACCAGTTCCATGGTACTTTGACATGGTATTGTCAGCTTTTCTTTTAGTTCTTTTCCATATCCAAGTTTTTGCAAGCATTTTTCCAAGTCCACCTTGTATCACGGAAAAATTCTATGGCCCCAGAAACTCTCGTGTGTTTTTCTTCTCTATGTCCAAGTTTTTGAAAGCTCTCATGTCTATTGTGAATATCTCAGCCACCTTAACTAAGAAAACATCTCGGCTAGCCTGGACCAAAAGGATACTTCGGTCCAATTGCCCCTCACCAAGAATTCATCTCGGGATGGCTTATTTACCTGAGGTATCAAAAGTTTCGACTCGTCGCTACGACGTGACTGGTGATTGATATGATTGATGTGACAATCAACCACTCTATGATTCAGTCCTACTATTGATATCGCTACCATGTCTTATCAAAAGTTTCGACTCGTCACTATGATGTGACTGGTGATTGATATGATTGATGTGACAATCAACCACTCTATGATTTAGTCCTACTATTGATATCGCTATCATGTCTTATCCTACGAGATTAAACTAACAGTACATCTTATCATCCTACTACCTATCTTTTCTAATATAAATACCAGCACCTTATTCACTTGAAAAGATAGGTAACTTAAATCACTCAATATAACTCCTGACAACTTCTAACTTAAGCATCGGAGTGAAACTAGGGCTCATAGCCCGAGCCACTTCTTGTTTTGCATGTGAGCTTATCTAGCGGTGACCTCAACTCAACTCGTTAGTTCTCGCATGTACATGCACCTTATATTATAGGAGAATTCTATGGTTCCTTTAGAATATTATTCCTTGGACTTGTATCTTTAATGTAGATAGCAGCTTATATATTAAATCATTGAAATTATTAAGATCTAAGAATTAAAAACAACTATTTCACCATCTCACGGTGAATTTAACTTGATGACATGATGGCAAATATGGCCTGTATTATAATCTAACAAAATTAGTCTGTAAAAATCTTCAAATTCTACATAACTGAAAAACCTGTCCAACTTATTCACCATGCTCAAAATCAGAGTTCACTGATTACTTTCCCAATGGTGTGATTCAATATAGGCAGTCAAATTGATATATATTTAATTTACTTAGAATTTTCACCAAATCCATATTCCATTAACAGGCATATTTTTACAACTGCAAATTATCCAAAAATGTTATGAATCCCATAATAAGAACGACGAAGGTATCAATTCTTTATGACCACGCTGAAGATGAAAACATTATTAAATATCGAATTCCAAGTACAGAGCATTTCACATCACAGAGTTCAGAAAAAAAAAAAGGAATGATATACGTTTACAGCAGAATAGAATTTTACTCATCCTCTATCCTCTATAAATAGAAGGGTAATTAGAAACCCTACAATCCAACATGAGACTAAAACATCCTTAAGATGACAGAACTCTTAAAATGATGATAACACAGCTGATTCTGGCCCTAAACCCTGAATTTGTATCAACATATCCATCTCATATGCAAAATGTTCAAGTCCATTGATTATGAAGGGTACTTATACATTAGATAACAAATATTACCTTGGAAGAAAACACAAAGCAGTATCAAATTAAGATCAAAAGACAATTATAACCAAATTAAAGGAAAAACTGAGAGAGGATTCTTAAGAGGCACACGCCCGTAGCCATTGAAATTGCACTTGCTATTTTCAAGATAAACACCAATTTCCAGGAATGGTATCGAATAACCATCCACAGCCGTGTCCAAGACCACAACAGATGCTCTAATGCTCTAGAATGAAAGAAAATAAAATCTACAAAACGAACTATTTCATCCAATTCTACCAACTGCTGCTTTTACCTACAACATGACAAATCACTAGATTCCTTGTCATCAACATAGTATCATTTAGCCAATGGCCGATGTACACTGCTAAAAGGGATGCGTAAACTACTGGGGCAGAACATGTACCAACATCAGAACTAGTCTCAAATTTAATTGGTCACTTCTTTCAGTAGCTTATTCATCACAATGGATCCTTCTCACCCTAACCTGCTCTCCATTGAAGTGGATATACTTCCATTTACCTTGGTAGCGATCAAGAACTAGTTTCTTTTTGTCTACTTGACCTAATGTTCCAAATGCACGCGCAATCTTTCTTAAAGAATCTTCATCTGGCTTGACCCCCAACTCTTCCATGTCTGCGAATACCTGAAATTTAGCATGCAAGGATTGTGAAATGTTCTTAAGTTTGCACAATTTCATAAAAAGACCATAATGCAAGACAAAAAGGAGAAGTTACGAAATCAGTTCCCCTTAACAAAAGTGGAAGAAAGGCACTAGAGGGGTTTACCTCAATAACCTTGTCTGGCATATTGTGATGATCATACAAGGATATCATCCTAGAAAATAACTTCTTAGAGGTGGAGCGGGTATGAATGTGCAAAATCATATTCCATAGTCTTTCAGCTTCGTCTATCCTGCAATCCATATCAAATGCCAACAGAAGGGAGTCATATGTTGTCATGGTTGTCCCTTGCCCTTTGCTAAGCATCCACTTGGCAATCTGAGTAACAAAGATCTTGTTAGATGCAGGTCGTCTATCTAAATAATCACATAACAACATACTGATATAGGCATCATTGCATAGTGAACAAAACGAATCAAGAGTACCAATAGGCCACTTCATCAATTTTTGTATTTTTGCACATAAAAGCATGCAGTATGCGTGAATTAAGAAAAAAAAGGTATTCAACCATTTCATTATTCTTCAACGCATTATAAATGTAACATGT